TGCTCAACCAGAGACCATGCCAGCTGACAGAACTTCAGGTTGACCACCCACTCATGGACTCCCGGACTCTTCTGGTGATCACTCATCTTACCCCAATGCCACTATTCCTTCTCATTGTGTTCTGGCCCCTAACTCAGGTAGCAATGTGCTGCTTGACCAGAGATCATGCTGGCCACCAGAAGCCCAGCTCCAAACTAGGGTAGAGATCCCCTGCACAACCACAGGCCACAGTAGCCAGGTTACCAGAGAAGAAACAGAAACTAAGCAACAAAACACCCATTTAACCAAGGACAAACTCATGAATTAGCACCTAGACCTATAACCACCCCAAACTCAGATGCCTTGGCACCAGCATCAGAATATAATCAACAGCCAGGACAACACATGTTCACCACAGTCCACCTACTACAGCAAGTCCTGAATATTCCAATGCAACCAAATCACAAGAAAACACCTTAAAATTGACATTATGAAGATGATAGAGATCCTTAAAGAGGAAATGAATAAATTCATTAAAGAAAACCAAGAGATTCAAGAAAAAACAGTAAAAAGAAACAAATAAAGCAAGACCTGAAAATAGAAGTAGAAGTAATAAAAAAGAATACATAAACTGAGGGAATTCTGGAAATGGAAAATCTAGGTAAGTGAACAGGAACTACAGACATTAGCATCACCAACAGAATCCAAGAAATGGAAGAGAGAATCTTAACCATTGAATATACAATAGAAGAAATTGAAACACTGAACAAAGAAAACGTTAAATCTAAAAAAAAAAAATCCTATCATAAAATATTGAGGAAATCTGGGACATAACCTAAGAATAATAAAAATAGAATCCCACTCAAAGGACCAGAAAAAAAATTATTTTTCAAGACAGGGTTTCTCTATGTAGCTTTGCGCCTTTCCTGGAACTCACTTGGTAGCCCAGGCTGGCCTTGAACTAACAGAGATTCACCTGGCTCTGCCTCCTGAGTGCTGGGATTAAAGGCATGCACCACCACTGCCCAATTGTTTTTTGTCTTTTTTTTTTTTGGTTTTTTTTTTTTTTTTTACGGAAAATATTTTTAACAAATTCATAGAAGGAAATTTTCCTAACCTAAAAAATGAGGTGCCCAAGAAGGTACAAGTAGCTTACCAAATATCAAACAGATTGGACCTGAAAAGGAAGTTCCCTTGCCACATAATGATCAAAATACTAAACATAAAGTACAAAGAAAGAGTATTAAAAGCTGAAAGGGAAAAAAACAAGTAATATATAAAGGCAGATGTATGAAGATTATGCTCACCTTCCCAATGAAGATTCTAAAAACCAGAGGGCCTTGAAGGACACCTGATAGACTGTTAGAGACCACAGATGCCAGTCTAGACTATTATATTGAACAAAACTTTCACTCACCAAAGATGGAAAAAAACAAGATATTTCATAAAAAAAAATTTAAAAAACATTTACCCACAAATCCAAATCCAGCCTACAGAAGGTACTAGAGAGAAAACTCCAAACTAAGGAGGTTAATTACACCCATGAAATACAGGAAATAAATAATCCCACACCAACAAAACCAAAAGAAGGGAAGGAAGCACACATACATACACACACACACACACACACACACACACACACACACACACACATACACACACACATCATCATCGTCATCATCATCATCACAAAAAACACCACTACCACCACCAAAAACCAGGAATTAACATTCATTGATCATTGATGTCTGAAATATCACTGGAGTCAATTTCTCTCAATAAAAAGTATTTATTGGACAAAAAAAAAAAACATTAACAATTCCTATCATAAAACACCCAGGAAATTTGGGACATTATGAAAAGACCAAATATAAGAGTAATAGCAATAGAATGCCGGCTCAAATGCCCAGAAAATATTTTCAACAAATTTGTAGACTATACTAACAGAATGAATGCAAAAAAAAAAAGAAAGAAAGAAAGAAAGAAAGGAAGGAAGGAAGGAAGGAAGGAAGGAAGGAAGGAAGGAAGGAAGGAAGGAAGAAAGAAAGAAAAACCCCAAAACAAAACAAAAAACCTAACCAGGATCCATTCTTCTGTTGCATATAAGAAGTATGGCATCAAAGATGAAATTCCCTCAGAGTAGAGACTTGGAAAAGATTTTTTAAGCAAATGGACCTAAGAAACAAGCTGGTGAGGCCATTTCAATATCTAACAAAAAAGACTTCAATCCAAATTAATCAAAAGAAATGGGGAAGGACACTTTGTATTCATCAAAGGAAAAATATACCAATATAATATATAAATTCTTAAAAATCTAGGCCCCAAATATAAGGATGCCCACATTTGTAAAAGAAACATTACCAAAGATTAAATTACATCTTGACCCTCACACATTGATAGTGGAAGACTCCAATAACCTTCCAGCCAGATTCTAAACAAAGAATTACTGGAGTTAACAGTCATTATAAACCAAATTGACCTAGTAGACATCTACAGAACATTTCACCTAAACACAAAAGGATATAACCTCTTCTCAACACCTGATAGAATTTTCTCCAAAATTGACCACATACTCAAGACACAAAACAAGTCTCAATAAATACAAGAAAATTGAAATAACCCCCTTCATCCTATCAAACCACAACAAATTAAAGTTGGATTTCAACAACAGCAGAAACAACAGAAAGCCTATGAACTTATAGAAACCAAACAACTCTCTACTGAATCACCACTGGATCAATATAGAAATTAAGCACTTTTAAGAATTCAATGCAAATGAATATGCAGCATACCTAAACTTATGGAACACAATGGAAGTGGTGCAAGCTGGAGAGATGGCTCAGAGGTTAAGAACACTGGCTGTTCTTCCAGAGGACCTGAGTTCAGTTCCCAACACCCACATGATGGCTCACAACCATCTGTAATGAGATCTGGCTCCCTCTTCTGGCCTGCAGGGATACATGCAAACAGAACACTGTATAAATAATAAATAAATAAATCTTAAAAAAAAAAAAAGAAAGAAAGAAAGTGGTGCTAAGAGAAAAGTTCCCAGCACTAAGTCATTACATAAAAAAAAAAAATTAGAAAGATCTCACACTAGTAACTTAACTGTACATCTGAAAGCTCTAGAACAAAAATACATAATAACACCCAAAAGGATTAGATGACAAGAAATAATTAGACTGAGGCCTGGTCTCAATAAAATAGAAACAAAGAGAACAATACAAAGAATCAGTGAAATAAAGACTTGGATCTTTGAGAAAATCATTAAGATAGGCAAACCCTTATCCAAACTAACTAAAAGAAAAATGTTGTGGAATATTCCTTTATACTGTGTAAAAATGTGTCACTGTGATTGGTTTAATAAAAAGTCAAATAGTCAATAGTAGGCAGGAGGTATAGGCAGGACTTCTGGACAGAGCAGACTCAAAGAAGAAGAAAGCAGAGTCACCAGCCAGATACCCAGGAAGCAAGATGGGTTGTAGAGTGTAAAAGTAACTGAGCCACATAAAAGACCATAGAATAAAAACATGGATTAATTTAAGTTATAAGAACTAGTTAGGAACAAGCCTAAGCTAAGGCCAAACTTTCATAACTAATAATAAGTCTCTGTATCATTTTTTTGTGAGCTGGTGGCCCAAAGAAAAATCTGTCTACAGACAGAGAGTGAATATCCAAATTAAAAACCCAGAAATTAAAATGGAAACATAACAACAGAATCCGAGTAAATCCAAAAAATCATTAGGTTATATTTCAACAAAGTATACTCCACTCCACAAAATTAGAAAATCTAAAAAAAAATAGATAATTTTCTTGATATATACTATTTACCAAAGTTAAATCAAGACCAGATCAACAAGTTAAACATATCTATAACCCCTAAGGAAATAGAAACAGTCATTAAAATTCTCCCAACTAAAATAAGCCCAGGGTCAGACAGTTTTAGTACAGAATTCTATCGATTTTCAAAGGAGAGCTAATGCCAATACTCTGCAAATTATTCCACAAAATAGAAACAGAAGGAACATTGCCAGTTTCATTTTATGAGGCCATAGTCATGCTGATACCCAAACTACACAAAGATTCAATAAATAAAGAAAATTATGTACAAATTTTCCTCATGAATATGGGTGCAAAAACTCAATAAAATATTTGCAAACTGAATCAAAGAACACATCAGAAAGATCATTTATCTTGACTAAGTAGGCTTCATCCCAGAGATTCAGGGATGGTTCTATATACAAAAATCAGTCAAAGTAATCAACCATATTTAAAAAATTAAAGAAAAAACAAATCAAGATAATGATCATCTCATCAGATGCCAAAGCAGCCTTTGACAAAATCCAACATGCTCTCATGATAAAAGTCTTAGAGAGTGGGAACACTAGGGATCTTCCTTCATTGTTGCTAAGAATACAAATTTGTACAAACATTACAGAAATCAATATGTAGGTTCCTCATAAAGTTGGGAATCAATCTACCTCAAGACCTATCTATATCACTATTGTGCATATAATAAAAGGACATTCTAACCTATCACAAAGACACATGCTTAACTTTGTTCATAGTGGCTTTATTCTTAATAGCCAGAAACTAGAAACAACTGAAATGTCCCTTAACTGAAGAATGGGTAAAGAAAATGTGGGGAAGTCCCCACCAGCCTGCAAACAGGTGAGAGGCCTGCTCCAGGCTGCTCCACAATGCCTGCCACCCCCTGGACTCTGTCCCTCCAAGAACCACTCCACCACCCAACTCAACAGACCCTAAACATCCTCCTCATGGCCAGACCTCCCCAGAAACTTCATAAAACAGGTACAAACCACATCAGTTAAAAAAACAGGTGAGTGACTGGCCTCCCAGCTTGGACTGCCGCAAAGTCCAGATCCTAAACCCAAAGGCACACATCCTGTGCCATGTAAGAAGAATTGCTAAATGGTCTTGTTAATAAAAAAACCTGGATCCAGAGATTGGGGTGAAAACTGAGAGATCAGAGGAGTAGGACAAACCACAGCCAACTTTACCTCACCAACCTTCAGCCTCCAGAGAGAACCACTTCCTGTACACTCACACCTATATCTTTTCTGTCCCTGCCATCTCACTTTCTCTCTGCCCAGCTACATCACTTCCTCTTTCTGCCTAGCTTTGTCACTTCTTGTCTGTCTATACAGACCTCCAGAACTTTATGGTTAATTAGTGTTGAAATAAAGGTGTGTACTACCATGTCTGGCTCTGTTCCCTGTGTGGCCTTGAACTCACAGAGATCTGGATGAATTTCTGCCTCCCAAGTGCTAGAATTAAAGTAGTGTGCTACCATTGCCTGACTTCTGTGTTTAATATAGTGGCTGGCTTTTCCCTCTGATCTCCAAGCAAGCTTTGTTTATTAGAGCACAAATAAAATATCACCACAGTGCCCCCCCCCCACTATCCTAGTACTAGCAAGGCAGCTGGTCCCTGCCCCCAACTCTGGTGCAGTCCCCACTTGCAGGTAAGAGGGTAAGAGACCCGCCTCCAGACTGCACCACCACCCCTGCCACCCACCAGACTCTGTTAGTCCAAGACCCACTTCACCCCCCAACCCCATGTACCTGAACATTCTCTCTGTGGCTAGCCCTCCCCTGTAACCACAGGACACTACAACATAGGCACAGGTACAAACCACACCAGTTGGAAGAACAGACTACATAGACACAGGCATGACCCACACTAGTTGTAAGAACAAATGAGTAAATGTCACTGTAAGAATACATTCAACAACTGAAAGAACAATATGATCACACCAGAACCCAGTGATCCTACAGCAGCAAGACCTGAATATTCCAATGCAGCTGAAACATAAGAATGTAATCATTAAATAACTTTATGAAGATGATAGAGGCCCTTAAAGAGGAAATGAAAATTTCTCTTAAAGAAATTGAGGAGCCGGGTGGTGGTGGTGCACGCCTTTAATCCCAGCACTCGGGAGGCAGAGCCAGGCATGTCTCTGTGAGTTCGAGGCCAGCCTGGGCTACCAAGTGAGTTCCAGGAAAGGCACAAAGCTACACAGAAAAACCCTGTCTTGAAAAACCAAAAAAAAAAAAAAAAAAAAAAAAAAAAAAAAGAAAAAAAAAGAAATTGAGGAAAAGACAAAAAAAATTGAAAGAAATCAATAAATCCCTTAAAGAAAGCCAAGAAAAAACAAACAGGTGAAAGAAATGGTTTAAGACTTCAAAACTGAAATAGAAACAATAAAGAAAACACAAACCAAGGGAATTCTGGGAATGGAAAATATAAGGAAGTGAACAGGGACTGTAGATGCAAGTATCACAAACAGAATAGAAGAGATGGAAGAGAGAATCTCAGGTGTTGAAGTTACAATAGAGGAAATAGATTCATCAGTCAAAGAAAATGTTAAATGCAATAAATTCCTAACACAAAACACCCAAGAATTCTGGGACACCATGAAAATACCAAACCTAAGAATAATAGTCATATAAGAATGAGAAGAATTTCAGCTCAAAGGCAGCAAAATCATATTTAAAAAATCAGAGAAGAAAACTTTCCCAACCTAAAGAAGGACATGCCTGTAAAGGTACAAGAAACTTCCAGAACACCAAATAGGCTGGAACAAAAAGTCTCCTCACTACATAATAACCAAAACATTAAACATACAGAATAAAGAAACAATATTAAGAGTTGCAAAGGAAAAAGGCCAAGGTATATATAAAGGCAGACCTATCAGAAATTCTCAATGGAGACCCTAAAAGGCAGCAGGTCCTGGACAGATGTTTTGCAGAGATTAAGAGACTGTGAATGCCAGCCCAGACTACCACACCCAGCAAAACTTTCAATCATCATAGATGGATAAAACAAGATATTTCCTGACAAAACCAGATTTAAACAATAACTAACCACAAATCCAACCCTATAGAAAGTAATAGTATGCAAACTCCAACACAAGGAAGTGAGCTACATCCATAAAACACAAGCAATTACAGATAATCTCACACCAGCAAAACCTAGAGAAGGGAAACACACACACTACCACCACCACCCCCCAAACCAAAAAATAACAGGAATTAACAAATAACTTGTTATTAACATCTCTTAATATCAATGGACTCAATTATCCAATAAAAAGACACAAGCTCACAGGATGAATACAAAAACAGGATCCATCCTTCTGCTGCATAGAAGAAACATACCTCAACTTCAAAGACAGATATTACCTCAGAATAAAGGGTTGGGAAAAGATTTTCCAATCAAATGGACCTAAGAAACAAGCTGGTATAGCTATTCTAATAAATAACAAAATGCACTTCAAACTAAAATTAATCAAAAGAGATGGAGAAGAATATTTCATATTCATCAAAGGAAAATTTCATCAATATGAAGTCTCAATACTGAACATCTATGCCCCAAATACACTCACATTTGTAAAAGAAATATTACTAAAGCTTAAATTGCACATCAAACCCCACATATTAATAGTGGGAAACTTCAACACCCCACTCTCACCAATGGGCAGTTCTGCCAGACACAAATGTAACAGAGAAACAAGGGAAATAATAGATGTTATGACTCAAATGTACTTAATAGCCATCTACGGAACATTTCACCCAAACACAAAAGAACATACCTTCTTCTCAGCACCCCATAGAACCTTTTCTAAAATTTCTAAAATTGACCACTTACTTGGTCACAAAACAAATCAATTGAGATTGATACAAAAAAAAAAAAAAAAAAAAAATCCCCCCCCCCCCATATCTTATTGGATCACCATGGGTTAAAGTTAGAGTTCAAGAACAATACAAACTACAGAAAGCTTACAAACTCATGGAAAATGAGCAACTCACAACTGAATCACCACTGGGTCAAGGAAGAAATAAAGAAATTAAAGACTTCCAGGATCAATGAAAATAAATCCACAACATACTCAAACTTATGGGATACTATGAAAGCAGTGCTAAGAGGAAAGTTCATAGCACTAAGTGCCTACATAAATAATTTGGAGAAGTCCCGTATTAGTAACTAAACAGCACACCTGAAAGCCCAAGAACAAAAAGAAGCAAACTCACCCAGGAGTAGTAGATGGCAGGAAATAATCAAACTGAAGGCTAAAATCAAGACATTATAAATAAAGAATCAATGAACAAACAGTTCAGAAAATCAACAAAATAGACAAACTAATCAGAAGGCAGAGAGAGAATATCCAAGTCAACAAAATCAGAAACAAAAAAAGAGGGGGGATATAACAACACACACTGAGGAAATCCACAGAATTATTAGGTCATATTTCAAAAACTTGTAGTCCACAAAATTGGAAATTCTAAAAGAAATGGACAATTTTTTATAGGTACCACATACCAAAATTAAATCAAGACCAGATAAACAATTTAAATATAGTTATAACCTCTAAGGAAATAGAAATAGTCATTAAAATTCTCCCAACCAAAAAAAGCCCAGGACCAGATGGTTTCAGCACAGAATTCTACCAGAATTTTAAAGAAGAGCAAATACCAATACTCCTCAAATTATTCCCCACAATAGAAACAGAAAGAACATTACCAAATTATTTTTATGAGGCCACAGTTACCTTGATATGCAAACCACACAAAGATTCAACAAAGAAAGGGAATTACAGACTAATCTCCCTTATGAACCTTGATGCAAAAATAATAAAATACTGGCAAACAAATCCAAGAACACATAAAAAAATCATCCACCATGACCAAATAGACTTCATCCCAGGGATACAGGAATGGTTCAACATATGAAGATCTGTCAATGTAATCTACCATATAAACAAACTAAAAGAAAAAAAAATACATGATCATCTCATTAGAAGCTGAAAAAGCCTTTGACATAATTCAACACTCGTTCATGGTAAAGCTTTGGGAGAGATCAGGGATACAAGGAACATATGTAAACATAATAGAAGCAATATACAACAAGCCAACAGCTGACATCAAATTAAATGGAGAGAAACTCAAAACAATTCCACTAAAATCAGGAACAAGACAAGGCTGTTCATTCTCTCCATATCTATTCAATATAGTACTCAAAGTTTTGGCTAGGGCGATAAGACAACAAAAGGGGATACAAATTGGAAAGGAAGTTGGAAAGGAAGAAGTCAAACTTTCAATATTAGCAGACGATATAATAGTACACATGAGTGACCCCAAAAATTCTGCCAGGGAACTCCTACAGCTCATTAACACACTCAGTGATGTGCCTGGATACAATATAAATTCAAAAATATCAATAGCCCTCATATCATATATACAAATGATAAATGAGATGAGAAAGAAATCAGAGAAACATCACCTTTTACAGTAGCCACATGTAATATAATATATTTTGGTATAACTAACCAAACAAGTGAAAGGACTGTATGAAAAGAACTTTAAGTCTTTGAAAAAAGAAACTAAAAAAAATATCAGAAAAAGGAAAGATCTCCCATGCTCATGTATTATCATGGACTGTGAGAGACCAGCTCCTGTGATCAGCTCAAGGTAATGAAAGGAATACTTCAGAGTAGCGGGGGATAGTATGCTTTTTATCTGAGGTTAATTAGGAATAAATTTTAATCTATCTATGACTGGTGAAATAAGGAAACACACTTGCTTTGTGATGTTAACTTTTTTTTCTCTTTTACTTGATCTTATGAATGGTCTTTGAATCTTTCTGTCTCCACACTGCTACATATCTCCACACTGCTGCATATAGCTACATATCTTTACATACATACTTCTTTTCACATGGCTACACATCTTGCTTTTACATACATTTCTCTTCTACATCTCTTTTCCATACAGTTTCATCTCCCTTGCCTGCCTGCACACAGTTACAAATCTCCATAGAGCCACAGCTAAATATCTCATTTATATATATCACTCACCATACAGTGCTTTGCACAGTTCCTAGGGATAGCTCCTGTACATAGCAACAGCTCTCACACACAGCTCTCTCTCTCTCACACTCATTTACATCTTTCTTTAACATTATTCACTCACTTTTTACTCACATTCCTTCAACCATTCACTATCTCACACTTTTCTCATGTTTCTTCTTCTCTCACTCAGCACCGCGTGTGCGCGCGCACGCGCGCACAC